CAGGCGTGGCATACTGTGGAAATAATTGGAGCCGCAATCTATGAACCCATCGTATAGAGGCCAAAGTGAAGATGGAAATACACAATTTTCAAATATCATGGGTCAACGTTAAAAACACTCAACACACCGACATTCTCGCAGTCACAGCTGACGCTCAGAGCGCCGTTGGAATCGTTGGAAATCCTCGAATATTTCAGTAGGACAACCCATCAAACTCATCACCTCCGGTACAAGGTGCCCCTATTAATAGCTACACCGCAAAATTAGACAAATCCACTAGAGTAAGTTTTATATTTGGCGAATATTTAAGCAGATAGAATAACTTGCATACCTTGTGAGTCACTTTGGCGAACGAGAGTACAGGGTACTACGCGGGAACTCGTGTGAACGCTCCAAATTTCCTCAAACCAAGAGCTTTTAAAACCAAAATTTTTAGTTTACGAATCAAATATGCAAAGGACTACTTTTCTACAGAACATCGGGAATAAAGACTTAACGCATTCTTACTGTAAACTGCGGCCGGCTAAATAATATTTTAGATTTGAATGCATAAAGTAGAATCATCAGTCAGTGTGTTTTAAATTTCAGCACACGCAGTGCTGGAAAATTATAGTTTGGTTATTTTATTATACAAGACTTTTCAAATAAAAGGCTCAGAAGGAAACAATTAGTTGGAAAGACATAATTTTCAATTGTGTAGGCTTCCTGGTAAACGAATATTCGAATGTGAACACAAGTCATGAATAATTGAATCTACATCATCAATTTTAATTATATCAACAGACAACACCCAAACAATAGCATCAGTCCCGAGTATTTTACATAAATACAGCATCACAACTGCACCAAACTAATAAGTTCGAAAATGACAACTAGTAAAAGCAAAAACAGAAAAAAGCATATCACTAAGCCCGGTAATGGTGAAGATAGAATACAGTAAATTGGATGAAATAAAAGCGCATTTCACCTATGAACTTTCACGTTAGCTAAGCGTACTGTATGAAGATACTTGTTTGGAGCAAGAAAGAAAAACCTTCCGTACTTCGGAATACTTCAATTGTGTTAAAAAGTATAATTTGGGAACCACTGGATTATCCTTAATACAAAGAAAGCTACGTCGAGAGGTCATATAATATACGAAATCGAGATGATAACTTACCATAGACAGCCTTAGTAAGGCAGAAAAGTTTTTTTCGAAGAAGTCCATTCTCCTCTCTTGATCGTGGGCGACCCAACAGAGCAGAGCTTTCACCATAAAGGCCTCTTGTGAAACGTTAATTTCATCCCCCAAAAAGATAAACTCGATCTGAGTGGGAGGGAGCTCTAAGTAATCCAATGACGAGAAGTCGAGTGAATAAAATCTATCTTGTACAATCGACAGGGCCCGCCTATATATTTCCTGGTCGCCAAACATTGCAGAAAATTGCAAAAACCCTAAAAATATCCGACTGATAGGATAATTTAAACTTACACAAAGCATTGTCTACTGAAAGACTGGAAACAACGAGGTCTCGAATTCTTTGCTGTAACGAAATAACTTGCAAAAAACTCGACGCAGCATACACATCCGCATACTCCTCCACTGGTATGCTGGTATAATCCAGACCCAGAGAGTGGATGTAGTTTACTACGTGTTGCACGCCGCGTGCGGTCAGGTACTCAGCTTCAAGAAAAAACTTGTCACGGAAGACGGCACTTTCATCGAATTTAAGAAGTGCTTGGAAGTAATCGCTAGATGCGGCTAGCAAAAGACGATTGCATCTAATTGAGTGTGTTGCAACTGTCAAGGATATGTCGAGAAAGTAGCCTGAGGCAAAAAGGTCTCGTAAGCTTTTTGACACGGAGTCTATATGTATTAACCGACTCTCCATGTTTTGAAGGAAACCGAGATCATTACAACGGCCTAAAAATCTAAATACCAAAACATACACCGACTATCACAAAAGCAATGAACTATAGAGTACAATACACGACTAATTTTGTTGGTTTTTGT